CCATCCCCACTCCATCAAGACACTGGAAACTACAAATCCTATGATCCCCAAAGGGAAGTTGTGAGGACTTAAGGGCAGCCATTTCTCTCTTTGTATATAAAAACTAGCCATGTTAGTGGGGTCAGGCACACTTGCCTTGTGCTCTTGGCCAGGCAGGATTGGTCTCGGTGGGTCATTTGGGATTCCAGGTTGGCGGAATGGGTAGGACACATTTTAAGAATTTATCTCCCTCGGGGCCTCCCTGGTGGTGCAGCGGTTGAGCACTGGGTTGCGAAGCTGCCCGCATCCTCTGCAGCGCCAGTTCGATCCCCGGCTGCTCCCCGGCCACCGGAGGAGGGTCCCACATGGCGCGCAGACCTCTCCTGCCGCCCGCTGCTCCCCTCAGCAGTGTACTTCGGTCCTTCTGCCTGCTCTGCTCCCCGCTCTGGCTCTGGTGAATTCTCTCACCCTCCCGCGCTTCTGACTGTACCCAGTACATTTTCTCATTCCCCTTCCCTTGTAAATAAACCTTTTGTTAACCTTTAAAAAAAAAAAAAAAGTATCCATAAATAAAGGGTCTGCTTATATATAAAAAAAAAAAATGACAAGCTTAACTGTTATGAAAGATCGTTGAGGTTCCTTGATCAGAAAAAATTCATAGTATGTCCTAAAGACAGTTTAAAGGAATAAGATTGACAGATACTATTCAAGCAGAAAAAACAAAGTTCACATAACTCTTTGCCCATCAGTGTGGAATGTGAATTATGGGGAGAATTCTCTTCCACTTCAGAGGTTATACAATTACATCAATTCTTAGAAAAGTTGTTCATCTTTCCACTCTCCTTAAAAGCACACCTTTCTGGTTGGGCCTGATTCTTCCTCTCCCTGGAATCAGAATACTTTTTTTTTTTTTAATTAAAATTATTTGTTTGACATCAAAAAAAAGTTACATATATATGCTATACCAATATTAAGGGCCTCCCCAGTGGCGCAGCGGTTGAGCGCTGGGTTGCGAGGCTGCCCGCAGCCTCTGCAGCGCCGGTTCGATCCCCGGCTGCTCCCCGGCCACTGGAGGAGGGTCCCACATGGAGCGCAGACCTCTCCTGCTGCCCGCTGCTCCCCTCAGCAGTGTACTTCGGTCCTTCAGCCTGCTCTGCTCCCCGCTCTGGCTCTGGTGAATTCTCTCACCCTCCCGCGTTTCTGACTGCACCCAGTGCTTGTATAAATAAATAAATCTTAAAAAAAAAATTAAATGTATATGTGTTGTGCTTTTAAGAGCTATTTTTAGAGAGCTTTAATTATGTTAAGATAATTAAAATTAGCTTTATTAAACTGTCTTTACCTTTGAGCACAACGTGTATGTTTTTATAGGTAAAACTTTCTTTAAGTTGAAATGAAATGCCAGACTAAATAGAGAAACAGTTAATGTCAAATCCTAGTGTGGATTGAGTTCATCACATTGATGAAAAATAGAAATGCTTAATTAAGTAAATGTATGTCATATGTGTGGTTGATAATGAGTAATTCTTGATTACTCTTGAAAGATTATCTAACAGATATTTGAGTTGAATACAATTTTAGAAAGGACTGTTTCTCCAACTATTAAACATGCCATTACACACCATGTGGTAACCTCAACCATAGGGTTTTACTAACTCTACATTAAAGTAAGTCTTTTTGCCTGGTGAGGCAAGTTCTCCTACCTTCTTGTTTTTCAAAGTACTTTTGGTTATTTCAGGCCCTTTATAGTACCATCTGAATCTTATAATAAACTTGTCAAATTTCTTTCTTTTTTATTTTCAAGATTTATTTATTTATACAAGAAACAGGGTACAGGCCAGAGGCGTGGGAGGGTGAGAGGATTCACCAGAGACAGAGTTAGGAACAGAACAGGCAGACCGACGAAATACACTGCCTAGGGGAGCAGTGGGCGAGACAGGAGAGGTCTGCTACGCCATGTGGGACCCTCGCCGGCCGGCGCTACAGAGGCTACGGAGAGCTTCGCAGCGCTGTGTTCAACCGCTTGCACCACCAGGGGAGGCCCAACATGTCAAATATCACAAAAATTCTTTGTTGGATTTTATTCTCACACCAAGTAGTATACTTTAGTATAAATCAGTTCTGTCTCCAACCAACTGGAGTTAGCATCAAGTTCTACAGATTTAAAGGCATGGTCACCAGGTAGACCTTCATCCTTTCAAATGTTAGTCTTAAGTTTCTTCCACCTGTTTCAGGTTTGATAATTTGCTAGAATGACGCATACCACTTATTTACATTTATGGGTATTACTATAAAGGATACAATTTAGGACTAGCCAGATGAAGAGACAAGGGAAGGATCTGACCTTAGAACTTATATGCCTTCTCTTTTCATTTGGAAATCAGGGTGCATCACCCTCCCAGCCCTTTAATGGTTTGACCTATTAGGAAACTCCACAGTACCTCAACATAACTGAATTTTTTTTTTAAATACAAGAACCGGGGTACAGTCCAGATGCGCTGGAGGGTGAGAGGATTCACCAGAGACAGAGTGGGGAACAGAACAGGCAGACTGACAAAATACGCTGCTGAGGGGAGCAGTGGGTGAGACAGGAGAGGTCTGCTGCACCAATTGGGACCCTCACTGGCCGGCTAGGATCCAACCGGCGCTGCAGAGGCTGCAGACAGCTTCACAGTGGGGCACTCAACTGACTGTGCCACCAGGGGAGGCCCCATAACTGAATTTTTATTAGTGTTTCGGAAACATGATTGCACTTAATCTCCAGCCCTTCTCCCCTCTCCAATTGATGCCTCCTGACTCAAAGCCCTAACTCTCCTATTGCAGTGGGTCTTAACTGGAATGACTAGCCCCACCCTGAAGCTTTGCATGACTTGGCTAAATCCCACTTGATCATTGTATGTAATCTTTTGAGTATGCTACTGGGTTCAGTTTGTTTGTATTTTACTGAAGATATTCATTTGTAGGATATTCATTTGTAGCTTTTCCCCCCAAAGATTTATTTATTTATGCATATAAGAACTGGAGTGTAAGCCAGAGGTGTGGGGCTTGGGGGGGCGGGTGGTGGTGGTGGTGAGATGATTCACCAGAGACAGAGTGGGGAGCAGAACAGGCAGATCTACTGAAATACACTGCTGAGGGGAGCAGCAGGCAAGACAGGAAAGGTCTCCTGCGCCATGTGGATCATGTCCCTGGCCGGCAGGGGATCAAACTGGTGATGCAGTGGCTGGCCATAGCTTGATAGTGCTGTTTTTAACCCCTGAACCACCAGGGAGGCCCCCTCATTTGTAGTTTTTCTAGTGTGTACCAGAGTGCTCTCAATAACTCTCTCATTCTACTTAGTGTACTCTACTTCATGCTCTTATTTGCCTTCCAGCTTCTTTTTGACATAGGGAAATTGCCATGTACTGACTGAATTCTCCCTCTCTTCTTCTTTACCCAGGTTGTTCATCAGGGCATTTGAGAGTTTCTTTCCTTTTTTTCCTCATCTTGTTATATTACTGTTCACTCTCATTCTCTCTGTTGTCTCTTGTGTACTATCTCTAGTGCTACTTTTTCATATATTTTGTTCTGTTTGTTTCAATCAGTAAGGTAAATGCAGCCCCTTGTAATTCCATATTTATTGGAAACATAAGCCTATTACTTTTTTTTAACTGTCATTTTATGGGATTTAGGCAGGAAGAACAGCTTGCCATCTTGCTGTAATATATTCTAATCATTATATTTTCAGAGAATTAAAATTATGGGGATGTTTTATTTTCCAAATGTGTATTGAGTATATATTGTATTGTAAACCTTTCCCTAGGTCTTATGAGCTTCATTATAGTGGTCTCCGACATTAGATGGTGAACATGATGTCTACATGAAATAGGAAATATGTGTCAATTAGGGATTCACTGGCTTCAGTAAACAATACAACAAAGTCTACCAGCCATTTAAAATATATATGGGTGACTGGATCAAGAAGATACGGTCTATATACACAATGGAATATTACTCAGCAATCAAAAAAAAGATAAACTCATGCAATTTGTAGCAACATGAATGGAGCTGGAAGGGATCATGCTCAGCAAAGTAAGCCAGAAAGAGAAAGAAAAATATCAGATGGTCTCACTCATAGCAGGAATTTAGAAAATCTAAATAATAGACCAGGAAAAAGACAATTATAATAAAGAAAAAATCAAAATCAACAAGCAACCATAAACCAGAGATACACTAATAGGGGCAGGGAGAGGAGAGGAAGGATTAGAGCCAAAATAAGGGGTATGGATATTGTACGGGAAAAATAACCAAAATGAAAACGCATACATTGTGCAAAAATGAAAAATGATGTAAGAATTATATAAAATAAAATAAAATATAAAAATATTTTTAAATGGCAGTTTTAAGTTTAAATAAATGCACATCTATTAATCAAAATGTCACATAGGCTAAAAATGACATATTCTTGCCCTTTTACATAAAATTTTCTTAATGTGGTAATTTCCTTACATTGATCAGATATTCTAATTGATAGCTAATAATAACCATGCTAAGTAAAATACAGATTTTGATAAGTTCAGTTTAGTAAACCAAATCTCTTAAAATGTAGTAATATGTGTGGTTAAAACTATAGGGAACAGGTGATATATAGTAAAGAACATTGTCTTTAGTGTTGGTTGGTTTAGAATTTTAGCCTTGCCACTTCATACTTGTGTGACTTGGGTAAGTTGTTAACTTGAGTCTTTTTATTATGGAAACAATAATATCCACCTCTGAGGTTGTCATAAGCATTCAATATTTGTTCATTTTTCCTTTTTTGGGAAATATTAGAAGTCAGTATATGACATACCTTTTTCTCTTTAGGTAGTTCATATATTAAATATATATCCACTGATAAATCACCCTTCTTTAAATTCACATGATCTGCACAAATACATGTCTTTACTTTTGTCTAAGTAATTAGAAATACTATCTCTGCAGAGGATGGTAATAAGGCATCTTTACACCTTTGTCATAAACAGTTAATAAACTTTATCAAAATATATGTATTATCACTTTTAGACATTATAGCATAGGCATATGATCCCTGAGCAAAATTAAAGGAGACAAGCTCTGCAACTACCATAACTTCTGCATGGAAGAACCTTTGGGACCTCAAGCAGAAAGTAGAGTAGTAATAGCCTGGAAGCCTCACTAAGTTGAGGAGGCAAAAATTGGATTTTAAAGAAACTTAGGCACCTATAAGTTGTAGGGCCAGGTTCTAAAAAGAATGGAACTATGTGGATAAAGGAACTGCAGACATCTGTATAGGGGCCACCTTGAGTCTTTTGCTGAATAGTAGGACACAAATGCAGAATGGGACTCCATGAGGCCAGGCAATGAATACCCAGGGAATTGTTAGCAAAACATTTTCCAGATTCGTACACAGGAATTTGTTTAACTCTAATGAGACAAGAGTGAAGAGTCCTTTGGAGCCCCCAAGGTATTCAGTGGAGAATCCTATGGGTTTGTCATATAGTAAAGACAGAAAAAGTCATCAGAGGGATTAGATAGATGTGTAAATAAATGCCTTCTAAAACAAAGCCTAGTTCTTTATAGAATGATTGTGAACACTCAGCAACAGTAGTGTAACATCAGTATTTTTCATTATCTATGCAGAAATTACCAGACATGTCCAAGAAACGGGTCCAGTGTATCCTCTAGCAAGGAGAAAAATCAGTTCAAACAGATTCAGAATTGACTGAGATAATGGATCTAGCAGACCAAAGATGTTATTGTAGCTGTTGTAAGTAATAGCTATTGTAAGTAATAAATGTAAAGAAAAAAATCAGAATCTAAATAGAGAAATGGAATGTACAAGAAAGAACCAAATGGAAATTTTAGGACCAAAACATAAAAGTACCTGAAATATTTAGCTGAAAGGATTTAAAAGCAATTTGAACTATGCAGAAAAACTAGTGACCTTGGATAAGTAATAATAGAACTTATCTTGGGGGCCTCCCTTGTGGTGCAAGGGGTTAAGTCTCAGCGCTATGACGCTGTCTGCAGCCACTATAGCATGAATTCGATCCCCAGCTAGGGAGCTGACCCACATGGCACAGCAGACCTCTCCTGTCTCGCAAGCTGCTCCCCTCAGCAGAGTATTTCAATCATTATGCTGGTCTGCACCCCACTCTGTCTCTGGTGAATCCTCTCACCTCCCCCCACACACCTCTGGCCTACACCCCAGCTCTTGTATGCATAAATAAATAAATCTTTAAAAAAAATAGAGTTTATCCTAAAATGAAGCAGAAGAGAACCGAAAGCAATCAAGTGATTTGTCTGTGGGGCAGTATCAAACTGATAATATATTTTATGTTTTAAAAAAAATGTATGAAAAGGGGGCCTCCCTGGTGGCACAGGCAGTTGAATGCTGTACCGTGTAGCTGTCCTCAGCTACTGCAGCACGGGTTTGATCCCGGATGGCTGGGGAGAAACCCACATGGTGTAGCAGACCTCTCCCGTCTTGCCCGCTGCTCCCCTCAGCAGTGTATTTTGTCAGTCTTCCTGTTCTGTTCCCCACTCTGTCTCTGGTGAATCCTTTCACCCTCACGCACATCTGACCTATACCCTTGGTTCTTGTATAAATATATAAATCTTTTTAAAAAATGCATGAAAAGTTTAGTATTAAGGATAAGAGCAGGGAAATAGTATTTTTTAATTAATTTATTTATGCATAGAAGAGCTGGGGTACAGGCCAGAGTAGTGGGGAGTGAGAGGATTCACCAGAGAGAGAATGGGAAACAGAACAGGCAGACTGACGAAATACACTGCTGAGGGGAGCAGCAGGCAAGACAGGAGAGGTCTGCTGTGCCTTGTGGGTTGCTCCCTGGCTGGCCGAGTCGAACTCGTACTGCAGCAGCTGCGGACCACCTTATAGGTTGTGTCCCAACCCTTGCGCCACCAGGGAGGCCCAGGGAAAAAGTAGGTTGTGAGGTTAAAAGTGTCCACACTTTACCTGAGTAAAGCGTGAGGTAAAAAGTATCCACATTTTATGTGAAGTAGAATATCATTTGATGGTACACTATATTGAGTTAAAAGAGCATATTATAAAACCTAGAGTAAACACTAAAAATTAGCCACATGTAACAGATACTTGTATAATCTCATTTCTTTGTAACATTGATGATAAAAAGAGCATTCCCTGCCATGTTCAGGGAGCTGGTTTCATTGTACATCATTGTACAGTTTCCCAAAACCTATCATCAATGTTAAGTGAGGACTTTGTATATGCCTAATTAGCCAATAGTGAATATTAAATGAATAGTGAATATTAAAATGCTAAAGTATTCTCGGTTATTTCGAGGGAAGACAGAAAAAGGAAAAAGCAACAAAGAAATGTTGGGATATATAGAAAACAAAATGGTAAGATTACTGATTTAAGTCCAATTATATCAATAATTGCATTGAATATCACTGGTTTTAATTAGGATTAAGCTTTTTTTTTTAAGATTTATTTATTTAATCCTACAAGAACTGGGGTACAGGCCACAGGGTTGGGGGCGGTGAGAGGATTCATCAGAGAGACTGGGGAGCAGAACAGGCAGATCTGAGTAGCAGGGGAGACAGGAGACGTCTGTGCCATGTGGGTTGCTCACTGGTGGGCCAGGGATCACTCATGCTTCAGTGGTTGCGGATAGCTTCATAGTGCTGCATCTTAACTCCTTGTGCCACCAGGGAGGCCCAGGATTTAGCTTTTGTATAAAGAGCCAAGTATTAAAGAATATTTTAGACCTTTTGGTCAATGCACTTTCTGTTGAAACTGCTCAGTTCTGTCGATTTTAACATGAAAATAACCATGGGCATTATATAATGAATAAGAGTGGCTGTATTCCATTAAAATTTATTTGAAAAAAAATTTACTTGTATAGATACTGAAATTTGAATTTTATGCAATTTCCTTAATGACTATACAAATACGAGAAAATGGAGACTTTATAACAAAGAATATTAGTAGAAATAGAAGGATATTTCATAATGCTAAATGGGTTAATTCATCAGGAGGATATAATAATTCTGGCTGTTTTTACCCAATAACAGAACTTGAAAAGATGTGAAGAAAAATTGACATAACTGAAGAATACATATACAATCTAAAGATATATGGGAAATTTCAGCAACTAGACAGAAAATTAACCAGAATATACAAGAATATACAAGACATGAATAATGTTTTCAACAAACGATGTTGTTAACATTTTTTGGAATATTCTCCTCAACAAAGTGGAAAACACATTCTTTCAAAATTGCTGACAATACCTCAGGTGTTGGTATGGATGTAAACTAACTAGAACTCTTACACAATGGTGGGAAGATTGAATTGATTTCACTACTTTGGCAAACATTCAGGACTTTCTTATTAAGTTAAACTTACACTTTCCATAGTCTATCAGTTTCCACTATTTTCTACCCAAGATGAATTTAAATGCACGTCTACAACAAAGACTTGTGCATGGATAGCAGCTTTACAGACAATAATCAGAACTGGAGCCAAATATCACATGATTGGGTAAACAAATACATTTGTACTATTTGTTACTACTCATGTTAAAAAGGACTGAACTGCTGATAAGATTGATGATACTGAAAAACATGGGTGAATCTCAAAAACATGCTGAGTGGGAAAAAAGTACATATCATATGATTCCATTTATTTGAACTGAAAAGACAAATCTCTGGTGACAGAAAGCAGATTAACTTGGACTGGGAATGAGGTGACTGACTGGGAAGGGAGTCACAAAAAAACAATTTAGTTAGCCATAGCTCCTATTTTATTTTTTTCTGGTCTTATTAGTATGTTCTCTTATCATGTTAGGACGGTCATTCATAATGTCAGTAGAATGTTAGCCCACTGTAAGTTGTTAGTAAATGTAGTTGATTGGGTGATCTAAGTGCACATTGCCACAATGGATATTCTTTTTCACATGCTTCCTATAGTGACTTCAGACAACTTTAGTTGTCTTTTTAAAGTATGGACAAGAAAAATTATTACTGTTTACTTATTTGTAATCAGTCAGTTAATTGGATTAGGAGAGGTTCATATTCATGGAAAACTTTGTTCAGACCAAATCAATTTGCTGAATTAGTCTTTATTGGATGCATGTTATGTGCTAGGCACTGTCCTAGGTGCTGAAGACACAGGCCTGTTTAATGTGGGATACAGATGCTCAAACAGACATTTATGATACAAGGTGGTGAATAAGAATCATTTTAGGATATTCAGCAAGGACACTTAATCATGATAAGATGGTCTAAAGGAATGGTTTCCTATGGGAGCAACAACCAAACAATCTAGAGCATGAGTCCAGGTGGGATGAGGATACAGGACTCCTCATAAGCATATGCTAAGGCCTGGAGGCCAGAAACTGCATAGAATGTTTGGGAATTCCAAGAAATTCAGTATGGTGGATTTGTTGCTCTACAAAACGAGTAGCTCGTCACTCTTGAGTTGTATGTGAGAAAAAATAAACTCTTATTTGTGATTCCACTCCTATAAGGTTTTCTGTTACTTGACTGTAACTATAACCAGCAGACAATAAATAACATATTTAAATTGAAGCAGTGGAATGGATGAAGCAAAGGAATGGAAGGGACAAAAGACATCAAGTCCTAAGATAGAATCAACTTTCAAAGATAGGGCAGGAATGGAGGGCCTGCAAAGAAATCCAAAAAGAGACAAAGCAATGAGGCAAAATCAGAAAAAAGGATGGTGACCATTGTTATATGTGGTCACCACTTGTTACATGTTGCCAAGTTAAGACAAATAACTCATTTAACTACTGAAGTCTAGTCATTCTGACTTATGGTGCATTTGGAGCAAATGGGAAAGATGAGAAAATGGAGACTAAGTGTGTAGAACTCTGCAGAGGATTGGGGAGGAGAGTATGTGAGTTGGAGGGGACTTTAAATAGCCCCATGTTGATTTCCAAAGGAAATTTTCACAATTTCCATGCTCTTTCTTGTCCTGTTGTGTGGGGGCAGAAACAACTTAAAAATCCATTAGAAGTCAAATGTAAATGAAAATATGCGTTTCATATTTTATGACTTTTCAATAGACCAGTGTTAGCAAACCAGTCTTTATAGGAACATTTGTCTTTTTTTAAAATGTGAAGCTTAAGCCAACAGTTGTCTTATTTTCAGTTAGATTTTATTTTATGCATAAACTCAGCATTGAAATACTGTTACTTCTTAGCCAACAAGGAGGAGTAAGGGGTGGATTTGGGATGTTTTTCATCATAACTGAACAATCTTGATGGAACTTTTTTCAAAAACATTAAGATCTTAGTTATTCTGAACCTCTAGGAGGAAGGGTTCTTTAAACTGGGATATTTGTATGCCTTTTAGGTTGTCTGTAAATTCTTTGAACATATTTGCAGAACTTTTTGTTTACATTTTTCTTAGGATGTCCATAGCTTTCATTCAAAACAAAGAGATTGTCTCATGCTGGATTTCCCAAGAAACAGACCCTGAGACAAAATGTGAGTGCAAGTAGTTTATTTGAACAGTGATGCCAGGAAATACTCGTGAGTAAAGAGGAAGTGATGCTAGGAAGGGGAAAAAAGGCAATACAGGATGTGTAATCGAGTAGGTTTACTTCTATCTAGGCAGCCAGGGCAGAATCCTTCTGTTGTGCTCTGAGAGACTGTGTAAATTATATCTCAGATTTTCTCACCAAGAGTAAAGGAGCTTCTGTTGTTACTGGTTGAGCCTTGTTAGTAGGAAGGGTTAACTTCATTGCTTTGTAGT